CCCACATGGCCCATCCACTCATGTGTGCACCAGGGAGCCAATTTCCCATTCTGGTCGACTGGTATAATCCTCACACGACCAGTCCTCTCATTGTTTTTCCAGTCTCTCTTTTCTTTTTTCTTTTTTTTTTATACCAACAGGAGGCAACCCGGTCGTCTCTATCAAATCTAAATCATCAGGCACTCACAACAGGAGGCCACCCTGCGAGCTGCGATCAGAACTAGATTATCAGGTGCGCCCAATAAAGAGGTCAAGTTTTCCATATCATCCAGATCATAACAGTAGGTGCACACGGGCGCCGATCTCCCATTTATATGGCTAACAGAAATCAGAATCAGGATCCATATATATAACGGTAACGGTAATGAGAATCAGGATCCATATAACGGTAACGTCTCACAAACCCATGGTGACTCACTTCATCCCAATTCCACACAAACAATGCACAGTAATATCACATCACAGGTAATCAAGCAATTTTTAATATCAACAATTAGTGCAGCACAATAGCACAATTAATGGCCAATTCAACAAATTAAATGCATGATAAGCAATTTTAGCCGTGAATGATGAATGCAGGCGATGATACTAGTTATCTAACACTACTCACAAGTTCTTATTTGTCCTTTAAAAGGACCTGGCCTTTTTTAGCCACAATGCTTCCAGCTTTTGTCCTCGCATTTGTATTTTATAAACCTTTAAAATAAACAAGAAAATTCTAAATAAGAATTTTAATTCAAAAACTTATATTTCACATTCGTTTATTTATTTTGGCTACCAGTCATTTAATTCACTTGTTATATAGCATATATATTTAGGTTCTCTCATTTATATAAATAACTATTCTAATTTATAACCTTTAGATAAAATCTCTAATTATTCGGTGAGAAATATTGTATAATGATAATTCTAATATTGTATAATATTTCTTAATACTTCAAATTTTTGTCGTCACTACTTCTTAAGAATATAACTAATTTAATTCTTCATTAAGTATTCTTCAATTAAGTGTTTTTATTAAAAATTCTGGCAACATTTTCTTCAAACTGTACTACCCCAATTTATCAAATTTTCACAAATCCACACGCACAGCCCATCCATCGGGCAAATTCATATCCACTAATCTCGTCCGCCATAACCGTCATTTATTCAGTCACTTAATTCACATAGTCCATTATAATTAATTGATCTATAACTATTTATTTGTTAATAAAATTCCTAAAATTTATTATTAGGTAGGAATTTGTATTTTAGTACCGTCCTTATAGTTATAATTAATATTCATTAAAATATATTTATTTTAGTTAATTCAATAAGTTAATATCTTGTTATTCAATTTAGTCTATTTAATAACTCGATTAAATTCATTAGTCAATTAATTCTTTATATATATAAAAATTAAGAATTTAATCTTAGAACATACCCATTGGGAATCGGGCGACAATTCCATGATCAGCGCGAAGAGAAGAGGATTCTGTCTCTCGGGGCCTCGCCGGAGTGCCGCCGTCCGGTCACCGGACCGCCGCCGCCGACCGCCATGCACGGTGGTCGGAAATTCAAATCATCACCAAAATTAACAAACAATCTATCATTTTATTTGTTTCGATGAGAGGATCATTAATATGTATTCAAATCAAGGTGGGTACGAACTATTTGGCCGGAAATTGATCGGAAAGGTTCGGTGATACCCATTTTGGAAGCATCCGGTGGACATTACCCAATTTTGGGTTTTTCACCGATCCGGCTTATTTCAGTGCACCGAGGAGGCCATCAAATTAAAAGAAGAAGAGGGACATTTGCAGGTACTCACCTTGTGTCCTAGCTTAATGCTCTGAAATCGGCGTAATCGCATAGTGCCGAGGCAAGGCCGGTAAAAAATAAAAGGGGTCACCGAAACTTCACTCTTCATCCCCTTCGATTCACAACAGTCACAATTCAGTTTCAAACTTCTACGCTTAATCGTTCTTCCTCCGCATTGAGTTAATGTTTTAAGAGTATTCATTTAGCCAAATTCCCAGGTTAGGCCCGTAAGGACAACAATCAGAAGAGAGATCAAAGAAGAGGAGAGAAGAGAGGATGAGGGGAGGGGAGCCAGCAACGAGGTCACGCTAGCTGGAGAAGAAAGAAGGCAAAAAACGAACCAAGAAAAAGAATATCGGAAGGAAAAAAAGAAAAGAAGAGGAAATATGGCGGTCCGGTTCGATCTCGAACCGATTCGGCCCGAGTTGCGATACTTGCATCTTGTTTTCGTTCGGTTTTTTTTTTTTTTTTTTTTTTTCGCTCGGTTTTTTCAATTATTCGTGTGTTTCGACACAGTTAATTAATCTTTTAGGGTCCAGGTTTTAATTTATTAATTATTTAGTGGGTACATAAAACATCTCTTCAATTAACTTTCTAATGAACAAAAATAATAGATAAAACAATAAATATAATTGTAGTCATTAATAGTTTATATCGTAGAGTTCCATTTTATGTTTCATCGAAATTTCTGAGACGTTCTGATTTTTTTGGGCTTGGCTCAATTCAAATTTGGCTCAAGTTAAAAATGCCGGTCTTCACTTTGACCCAAGTTAGAAATGCTCGGTCTTCACGACCCATACTATAAAAAAAATTCGGATTTTTGATTTAATAAAAATTCTAAAGTTTTGAAAATAAAAATTCGGGATATTACATAAATATAAAATTTTAATTGTGTTAATAACTATTAAAATAGATAATTTTATCTAGATTTTGAATTTCGAAATTATAATGTCATAATAAAATAGAAAAAATTATATAAAAAAATAAAATTTAGTTTTGAATAATGAATAACAGATAATGTAAATCTCTCACATAAATTTTTTTTTCTTTTACATTTTTGATAAACTTGTAGAATACTAACGGATAAATAATGGAAGGCTAAGATTCTTTTTTATCTCTTCAGATTTTCTTTTAATGAAGTTTTTCTTTCAAAAAAAAAATAAAAGGCTGAGATTTCATCACAACAACTTCTATATATGGGTGTGTTTATATATAAATATATAATATTACTGATCAGTGGATGATAGATCATTTCGATTATCAATAATTTTGGACCTACAACTAATAATGCGTCCCTATTTCATGTGGTGTGTGATCAAAATAATTTGGACAAATGCTTAAATTCACACTTAAAATTTTAAAAGATAGGTTTCTGGGTGTTTTGAGTTACAGTGAAATGTTTAATATACAATATATTGAGAATTGATTTTAGATGCTAAAACACGTTAATTTGGCAGTACCAAGGTGCAGGCAAAAAAGGTGGCAGAGGCCCACGCATATGCATGGGGATTCTTATACATATGCAGGTCAGGTTTCTTTCCGACTCAGAACAATAATTCAACTGTTATTTTTTCTTGAGAATCGGAGAATTCAAAATTGAATTTACCGTTGTTGCACTGTATATGCATTTATTACTGGTTTATGCCTCGACATACATGATTGAAGTGTTATTTGTCCTATTAATAAATACATCTAATCATGAATATATAATTGCTGATGAGTTATCATGTTTCCCATGTGGATTGATCCAGGGAGAGGTGTGAGGAGTGGCCCTTGCCTCCCATTCCAAATTCTTTTATAAAGTTTATCCCATAGGATAATAAAAAATTTTACAGATAATATTAGTTTTTCACTTTTTATATTATTTTATTTTTCCATAATTTTTATCGTAATTCCTTTTTCAGCTGTCTTAAATTGTTGTTATGTTTCCTTTGTATAGAAGTGAATAGTTTTTTTTTCCTTTACAAAATGAAATGAATAATATTTGAAATTTATTATTTTATATTTATTTAATATATTTTTTGGCAATAAATATAATAGTTAAATTATTATCATTAATATCTGAGATATATTTCCACACTTTATAACGAGTACGATGATAGAAAGCTCGAACAAGAGAATAATGGTTCTTTCAACTTAAACCGATTTAGTCAATTAAAAATAATATTTTATTTTATTGGCATTTCATAAAAAATGATTGGAAGACATGTTGTGACAATATTAGCTAATTTGAGGTTAGGGACCAACAGAGACATCAAAATTGTCCAAATGTATCTATGAAGTAATTGTCGTTTAACATATTTGTATTAACCTAAATTTGATCACAGCGCCAACCTTGACTTGGAAGTCAGAAATTGACACGTTTATTTAATTAATTTATTTTTTTCCCAACTAAATTAAATTGATTTGGATGATTGCATATGTATGTCTCCATTTTAAGTCTTGAAGTAGTAATTTCATTGAATAACAAATTATCAATAAATAAATAAAATTTAATTTTGATAAGATACTGATGGTGATGGATAAACAATGGAAGGCTGAAATTTCTTCAAAACAAAGTGTTAAGCTTTATTCAGACAAAGTGCTAGTGGATGATTCATCATATCCCAATTTACCGTACCGTTATCATTACTACTTTTTGGGCATACTGCTTTTATTATCAACCGTTTAATCGGTTTGAAATTTAGTTACAGTTAAAATTTTTCATGTCTTTTTACAGATGTATTTAGTGAAATCGAATTCAAAGCTCTTCTCACATGTTCAGCCGCGTTGTCAACTAAGCCACATTCCATAGATAATATTCTCTATCTTTACTATTTAGTTACTAAAATTTTCAACTTTTAAACTCTTGTTTATTAAATATTTAACTTATAAAATTATATTTAATAAATATTTAACTATCAAATAATTAAAAATATAAAAATTACTATTCAATAATTTATATTAAAGTACATTTAAAATATCCAACTTATATTCACTAACAGCAAAATGTAAAGTTATATTCAACATGCAATATTATAAATTAAAGTTTTGAGTAGATATAATTTACAAAGTAAAGGAGTTAACAGCTTAACATTAAGATTAAGGATAAGGATACTATAAAAATTACATGTGTCGGTCTATGCATTCAACCGGTCAAATTTAAATGGTAATATAATAAATAAATAAATAATATAATATAATTTGGATATTTCAATCACTATACAAGATGTCTATTCTCATTGGCACTACATATAGGAGGGACAGGATAGAAGTGTCTTGGCCAGCAAATCGAAGATGACAATTCAAAGCTATTTTTTGCTTAGCCTCCTCCTTGTTCTTGGCCTAATTACTGGCAATGCTGTGGCTGAGGACTCCAACTACGCCACCGTTTCACTTAATCGCAGCAGTTTTCCGGCAGGTTTTCTTTTCGGGACAGCATCAGCATCTTACCAGGTCAGTTTTTGAGTGTTTTGAGTTACAGTATATATATATATATATATATATTGAGAATTAAGATGCTAAAACAATTTCATTTGTCAGTATGAAGGTGCAGCAAAAGAAGCGGGTAGAGGACCAAGTATTTGGGACACTTACTCTCATAGATATCCAGGTAAAGATTACCATTTGCCATTAATAGATTTTAAAAGTAAAATTAAAAATAATTTTATTGGTCTAACAAATATTGTTTTTTGCAATGTTTTTTTTTACGATAATAAAATAATTTTAGAAAATATCATGTTAATTTTTTAAAATTAGGTTTAAATCATAAAGATAATACTGTGAGAATTTATTATTTATTGGTCTATAAAAAAATTGTCTAATTTTTTTATTTTAGATCTGCTATTAACAATTTCAAATTAATTAGTTCTAATCATTTTACAATATATTCAATTAACACCTATAAGAAATTGAAATTTATATCTCAAGATTTTGAAATATAATTATAAAAATATAAATAATGTTATTTGAATTTTTAAAAGTAAGATGCGGTCACATGACTAGTTATAAAAAATGATGATAATGTCAATTACAGGTAAAATAACTGATGGAAGCAATGGAGATGTGGCAGTTGACCAATATCATCGGTACAAGGTAAAATTACTTTACTGTATTATATAGAGTAATATTATATATATATTCACATGACTAGTTTATAAAAATGATGAGAGTGTCAATACAGGTAAAAATTAAACTGATGGAAGCAATGGAATGCTGGCAAGTTGGACCAATATCATCGGGTACAGTGTAAATTACTTTACTGTTATTATATAGAAGTAATTATATTATAGTATATATAATATATATTGTTATAAACCATTACAAGTTTACATAGATGTTGCAATATTGTTATAAACCATTACCAATTTAATAATGTTGCAGGAAGATGTTGGGATTATGAAAGAGATGGGCTTAGATGCTTACAGATTTTCTATTTCATGGTCTAGAATTTTACCAAGTAAGATTGGTTGTCCTTACTTGCATTTATATTTATATTATAATTTGACCAATTGGGTCATAAAAAAATTCTAAAACAAATTTTCTTTGAACCAAATATGTATCAATTATTCAAATTTAATTATTTATCAATAATTCAAATTTAAGCATTCGACTTAATAAATAAATATTATTCAAATTTAAGCATTTTTTTTTATTTTTTTGATTTTGAGATTTAATATTTATCAATTTAACTAAAATACTCAGAGGGGAAGCTAAGTGGAGGCGTGAATACTGAAGGGATCAAATACTACAACAACCTCATCAACGAGCTTTTATCCAAAGGTTGTGATTCAATCTAATTATTTTTATTTTTAAAGGCAACTATTAATATCTTTATCTTTGTTTCTTAATTTGCCAAATCTATATATATATACATGTGATCTTATGATGTGCAGGCATTCAACCCTTTGTTACCATCTTCCACTGGGATCTTCCACAAGCCCTGGAAGATGAATATGGCGGTTTTCTTAGCTCCAAGATTGTGTAAGTTAACCAAGACATATATATATATATTCTAATTAAAAATATATTCAATTTGTAAATTTACTTGTTAATTTGTAAATGTAAAGGAATGATTTTGAAGAGTATGCGGATATATGCTTCAAATATTTTGGAGATAGAGTGAAGCATTGGATCACATTGAACGAACCATGGACTTTTTCCGACGGTGGATATGCATTGGGATCCTTAGCACCATTTAGATGTTCAGATTGGCAGAAATTGAATTGTCTGGGTGGGGATTCAGCAACTGAGCCGTATATTGTGGCACATAACCTGCTTCTTGCTCATGCTGCCGCTGTCAAACTGTACAAGACAAAGTACCAGGTTCTAGAATAGTTACGCTCTACTACGGTCTGAAATGTGATTTCTGTCAAAAGAAAGAGGAATATGATAATAATATTATTGTTGTTGTTGTTGTGCAGGCAACTCAGAAGGGCGTGATTGGAATTACATTAGTGTCACACTGGTTTGTGCCTTTTTCAGGAGCCAAGCATCACCAAAATGCTGCAAAACGAGCCCTCGATTTCATGTTTGGTTGGTGTGTATTCTTTCAAACATTCGATCATTAAATTATTTTTTTATCATTTATAGAATGTTGAATATGTCGAAATAATATTGCAGCTCCTATTCCAGTAACTGATGTTGCATTGTTGAAATTTCCTTTAAAAATGTTTTATTGTAGGTTTATGGACCCAGTAACATATGGTGACTATCCACACACACTAAGGTCTCTTGTCGGGAACCGATTACCCAAATTTACAGAAAAGCAATCCGAAATGCTAAAGGGGTCGATCGATTTTCTTGGGTTGAACTATTATACTGCTAATTATGCAGCCTATGTTCCTTTTTCTAATGCTATTAATGCTAGCTATAGCGGGTCGATCGTATTTTCTTGGGTTGAACATATTACTACTGCTAATTATGCAGAGCCTACATGTTCCTGTATTTTCTAAATGTTTATTAAATGCCTAGCTATGTAACTCGACGCCTCGTGCGCTACAACTTTCAATGTAAAGACTCGATTATCCTTCACCTAATACCAATCTGGGTTTTAATTTTTTTCCACATTTCTTAACAACTGAACCATAAATTAAAATCACTTAGCAATTTTTGCATGGTTTATGCAGCTGAGCAGTCGTGGGGATTTCCAATCTGTCCTAAGGTAAAAAATCGCCTAATCGCACTCAAATGCCCAATCAACTCAGAATAATTAATAAAATTAATACACTCTAAATAAGTCAAATCAAAAATACTTAATGAGATAAGTTACAACTATTTCTTTGGCAAAGGCAGCTTCAAGACATGGCTCTTTGTTCTAAACTCCTTAGAGGAATTCCGAGATCTTTTATTGTACCGAAAGAGAAATACAGGAATCCCCTAATTATATACAATAACTGACGAATGGGGTAAAAATATAGTAATTAACTATTTTCATTTCACATTAATGCAATAAAGAAAATAAATATGTTTATTTTTCTTGTGTAGGTTTAGACGAGCTATCAATAATGGCAACACTAACACTAGATAGAAACAGCTTGGTTGATCAAATATGAAGAATCGAATTACTACTATCAGCCATCCTTTCTTTCCTTAAGAAAAGCAATGCGAGTAAAATGCTTAATTAAATATTACATTACCATCATCAATTTGTTTCTCGTTTTATTTTTTTTAGTGTTAAATTTAGAGATGTTTAAAGTTAATTAATTTGTTGATGTGGCCGTGCAGATAGATGAGTGTGAATTGTGAAGGATATTTTGCATGGTCCATTACTGGATAATTTTCGAAATGGAATTCAAAGGTTATACCTGTGCGCATTTTGGCATCAACTACGTAGATTATAAAAAATGGGTTGAAAAGAATATCCCAAACTTTCCTTGCCTCGTCTGGTTCAAGAAGTTCCTCAGAAAATAGACTATCTATCTTACTATCATAGTCATTCACCTCATATAATGTCCATTACCTACAATGTATATTTTAATGTAGTGTCCTTTCACTATTTTTTTTTTTATGTAATTAGAGATGTTTAAAGTTAATTAATTTGTTGATGTGGCCGTGCAGAGATGGTGTGAATGTGAAGGGATATTTTGCATGGTCATTACTGGATAATTTCGAATGGAATTCAGGTTATACTGTGCGATTTGGCATCAACTACGTAGATTATAAAAATGGGTTGAAAAGATATCCCAAACTTTCTGCTCGCTGGTTCAAGAAGTTCCTCAGGAAATAGACTATCTATCTTCTATCATCGTCAATTCACCTCATTATGTCATTACCTACAATGTTTTATGTATTGTCTTTCACTAATAAAGTATAATTATGCCAATCAGGTTCAAATTTATTTCTCATATCAACAATTCAAAGAAAAGACAATAAAAATTGTACGCAAATTTTAATTTTGAGCACAGCAGAAGCAGTAGCGGTAGGTTTCTCTGTAGATTTCAAATGGATATGCTATATGGAACACCCTTTCCTGTAACCCCTGGTTTAGAAAATGGCTTCAAAAGCTCATATGGGACAATGCCAGCTCCATTTCTGTTTTTCAAGTTCTTGTTATTATTTCTTTCATCAATGATTCCTTCTAACTCCTTCAATCTTCCTCTGAACTTCTCAAAAGCTGCCTTTATAATCGGATCATCAGCCCATGATGGTTCCATTTCCTCCCCAATGTACTTCTCATCAGGAGAATGGTTCGATAACACGTTTAAAGCAGCCACAACTCTTGTTGCCTGAAGCTTTGAAGGGAAAGTAGCTAATAGTACTGCCCCAGGATTTTCTAAGAAAAATTTCCAGTCTTCTTCTGTGGGGTCTTCACTTGGCATTTTTATTCTTGCAATTGTAGGCCTATTAGGAAAATAACCTCCAAATGCATATTGTCCAAAGTTAACTGCAGCATGTTGACCTGAGGCTACCCATGCCATAGTTGTGGCGAAATCAATTAGATCCTGGGGTGTTCTAAGCTGAGGCCACCATGGTTCGTCCTTTTTGTCAGCGTGTCCTATAGTTCGAATTTCCCTCCACCATGCTTGGATCTCTTCATCGGACGCGACAAGGTCTGGTTCAGGATAGTAGTGATTTACGTAGTCAGTTATCCAACTTTTGATGATGTCCCATAAAATTAGACCATCGTTTGCAAAAGGGTAGTCTTCAATCGTAAGTTTTAGGCCGTGCGGAGCCTTTTCATCCTCAACAGCCATGCCCCTGGCAATTACAGAAGGTTCAAAATTCAAAGATTACCGACAAATGGATAGATTATTTGTATACATTGGAAGCAAAAATTTCATGCTGTACAGGAAGAAACGGTAAACAAATACCTGTTAATTAGGTCATTGGGTAGTGCCTGATGATCAAACCTCCAAAATTTATCATAGGCAACAGAGCTGAACTCCATAGAGTACTTGCCTGGAGAAAATGAAGACTCGATAATTCCACCTACACTGATTAGTGATTCTCGAGCCAGAGCATTAATCTCCATTGTATGGCGAAAGTGAGGGTGTAATAGTCTATAAATTGGATGCATAACACTGAGTTGCCGATTGGTTGCAATTATATAAGGTTCTGTCACGCAGTGTGTTCTTAGCCTGCAAAAATTGAACAAAAGCACTTAATTTTGGTGTTAAGAACTTAAAACCTCCAAATACACGACTGAGGAACCGGAACAAACCAATGACTAACAAGTTGATGATAACCAGAGTCATGAGCAAGGACATGTACTTTGGCTAGCCTCCAGAGCCAGAAACCTGTGGAATCCCAACTGTTAGTGTACACTTGCTTCCACTGAGGCTTTCCATCCATGGGTGGGCGAGTCAACTCAATGGCTATGGGCCTTAATATGCCAGTAGGGGTTAGGAATAGCACTGTCCGTGAGCCATATAGTGTTCTGCCGTTAAGTTCCCTTACTTTGCTCACAAATGGTAACAACAGATCATGATAATCTAAGATGAAAAGCTTCTTTTGTTCTATGGCCTGAACTAGTCAAATACAATTTAAAGAATGGTCATCAATCATCATTGGATGAGTTATTTTCACCAACATAAATGAGTGCTAGTGTTCGGTTTACCTCACAAACTTGAACAATCCCTCCAATTTCTGCTTCAATTATTTCTGTTGTAATTGCTGATTCCGGCGGTCCATATATCTCAGGATCAAGTTTACTCTTCAGTGGCCATTCCTACAACATTTACATGCAAAATATATTTGGAATATCCCTATTTAAACAAAAATGACAAAAAGCTATTAATTGCAGGTTATATGGAATTAATACTTCGATCAATTGTATGCTGCAAGGGTTGAGACCAGCAATAGTTTGCCTAGCAAATTCTTCATCCGTTAACCAAAAGAATTTTTCTCCTGAAATGCAAAAATTCACATCAGATAGATCAAAACTTGTAATTACTAATAGATATCTGGAGGTCTTACTCTCTGATGTTTGTGTGCTCTCAAAGCTCAAAACACCTTTCCCATCAGTGATAGCCTTGAAAAGCCGAGGCATGATTGTTTGCCAGAAGCCCTCTCTTGAAAGGGGAGGCATAGGAATCCCTTCTTTGATCAGTGAATCTATAGCTTTAAAGTAAGGGAATCCAAGTTCAGAATCAATAATCACATTTTCTAATGATGGTGCCAGTGCATGAAGTAATGAATATATAGTCTTGGCTGGGAATGTTAGTTGCTTTGCTTCATCTCTAGGAACATAGAAGTTACTTTTCCTTTTCTCCGATGATGGATCTACAAATCCAATCATTTTTAAATCAATAATAAACACGTTTATTACTGCTAAAAGGAAATCTCAACAATTTTATATACCTGTTCCGCATCTTGGCCGTCCAGTACGACATCGTCTAGGATATGGACGTTGTTTGCCGCCAAGTACTGGTCTTGCAAAGTCCGGGTTACTATCAGGATCACCAAGATCGTTATATACATCATAACCGTATATCCTTTCGCCGAACTGACGCTCTCCTTGTCCATTTCCTCGCAAGAACATAAGCTCTTCCTCTCGTAGCCTCTTTATTCCACTCGGCGTCTGTGATGGTAAGTAAGACTGCGCCAGAAAATAACAGAGAATCAACTATTAATACCATTAATTAAACCCAAATAGTTATAACTATAAATCGAAAAGAAATGCATGGACAGACCTCACTGGTGAAAAAGACTCTTTTCTGCTTGTTATCATACTTGGAGTGAACCCAAGAAGCAGAAGTGATATTAACAGGACCATGGGGAAACCCATCAAGCACTATATCCTGAAGAAAGATCTCAGAATAATGCTCATTTTCCACGAAAACGGCACCCACATCTCCAAAATCTTCTGGAACATCAAATTCTGCTTCGTATTTGATATCTCCATCTTCTTTCCTCATTCGGTGTGCAAACCCTTGAATCGTAGGCTTCTCTAGTCCCGTCTCTTCAAACAAAAAATGAAAACTTTTCAATATACACCACATTTCTTTCTTTTCCATGATTCTACCCTATTAAACATTTATCACTTAGTACGTAAATATGAAAATAACAAGTAGTAACTGAAACTAGTCGGCAGACAAGGTTAAGGTGAAAATATATGTACTTAAGGTGAAAATATATGTACTTACTGGGATCTAGGTCAGTACTAGCAAGCTCTAAGTGGAGTGTTTTGCCAAGTAGGTCTTTTATAGTTGCGACAAACCCACCAATGGTTTCTTTAACAGTAACTACAGCTTTTACTTTAATGCACTGCTTCGGTGGTTGGGCTTTGATGGTATTGTTGTTAATAAAATTAGCAGCTCTAATAGTATAAAAATTGCGTGTTTTTCTGAACAGTGGAGAATTTGAAGACTTGAAAAGGAACCTTGACGCATGTTCATCTCCATTAGCGAATGGTTTATTAGGCAATAAGAAGTGATGAGCCATAGTTGTTGCTGTTGTAGCTCTAGAATGTGTTTGGTGATGAAGCTGTAGCTTCAACATTTTCTTTCCTTCTGTTGCAAGCTAAGTGTAGGAGAAGATAAGTGATTAAGTGGTTATAGAAATTAGAAAGGCAGGTATGTCACTCTTTTATATATGACATGAAAGCTTAAAAGCAACTGATCACAATAAAAAATTCATTATGTATATTCCCTCGTTTTTCACATTGATTAAGTTCGGTATAGCATTGATGGGAAACCAATTTTATTACTTATTTTAAACAACTTTAGTAAAAACATTGAATTTGAAATTAGAAATATAATTATGATTTTGGGAACAGAAAGTTTCAATATCAATCTGTGACAAATTCTTATTCTCTTTGTTTAAAAGGACTTTATATTTAATGTTATGAATTCGAATCTTTAATTAAAGGGAAAAAGATCAAGTCAAATTGCTTATTAATTGTTCAAAACTTGATTTTAAAAAATTTCATTTATGTTCATTTGATAAATTTAAAGCACCCAATTCATGTTTATGTATAAAGTTTAGTTTAATAAATAAATTATTACCACTTATGAATTGTGATTCAATTGACAATATTGATTGGACATGTGGAAAGAATGTTTTCGGGTTCTATCTCAACTAAATATATTTATAGAAAAAGCTGAAGGATTTTAACTGTGACTAAGTCTCAAGCTAGATATCGGTGGTTTATGCCAAAAAAAATTAATAACCTATAAAAAAATTGGAAAAAAAAAATTGTTACTTGCCAATATAGTACATCGTACTCGACCATTTTGTCCCTAATGAAACGAAATTCTTGTCCGAACCTTTATCGGAGAGGTCACTTTCATGGCCAAAGCCAATTATGAAGCAAAATGATCAATTATCCTATGCTTAAATACCGATCAATTATCAATTAAGACCCATAAAGTGTTGATTTGGATGAAAAGTGAGTTCAATTCCGTAAGAATTAGAATATAAATTCAATTTTCAGAAAACGTTCCGATTTAAAAGATTTAAAATCTTTATGCTTCATTATCTTAGAGGATTAAATCTCCTAGAAAAAAAAAATGCCAACCAAGGCCGTGCCCTGGAGCCATGGGCTCTTGAAATAATGACTTGCACCGCAGGACGGTTAATGAGCTAAAGATATTTATGCATGCATGGCTACCAATAATTGAAGTACGTTTGCCAAGGATAAATTTGGCTATTCACACCACACGCCAGAAGAAATCCATTAACTTTTTGCTTGCATTCACGAAATTGCCGGTTATAAATCACTCTATTTAGTGGCACGGTTCCGGTTTCAAAAATTTTGAAATTGAAATCTAATTAAAAATTGACAGTTTCGGTTACAATTTGAGATAAACAGTTACGATTTTAATTTTAGTTTCTTAACGGTTTTATAGCCGACGATTTTGGTCGGTTCTCCGACTGATTTTTCGGCGGCTCACATAATTATAAAATAAAAAAGTAGAGAACATGTTTTGTTCAAAATTTAAACTTTAAAAATTTGTGAAATAATTTCTAAAAAAAACCGTTAAAAAATTAAAAATGCTTAAACTTAATTTATTTTTTTTTAAAAAAATACTTGAACTTAATTTTTTTTTTAAAAAAACAAAGTCTTCAACTTAATTTATTTTTTGTTTAAAAAAGTTGGAACTTATTTTTTTTATTTAAAAAAGAGGGCTTGAACTTAATTTTTTTAAAAAAAAAAAATAAAAATTTTAGTTTCTTAAACGGTTATTTATAGCCGGACGATGCTTTGGTCGTTGCTCGACTTAGATATTATTCGGCGGCTCACATTAAAATTATAAATAAAAAAGTAAGAGAACATGTTTTGTTCAAAATTTAAAACTTTAAAAATTTGGTGAATAAAATTTCTAAAAAAAAACGCGTTAAAAAATTTAAAAATGCTTCAAACTTAATTTTATTTTTTTTTAAAAATATACTTGAACTTAAATTTTTTTTTTTAAAAAAAACAAAGTCTTCAACTTGTTAATTTTATTTTTTGTTTAAAAAAGTTGGAACTATTTTTTTTATTTAAAAAAAGAGGGCTTGAACTTAATTTTTTTAAAAACTTAATTTATTTTTTGTTTAAAAAAGTTGGAACTTATTTTTTTTATTTAAAAAAGAGGGCTTGAACTTAATTTTTTTAAAAAAAAAAAATAAATTACCTACATATCCTTTTTAGGTTTAACCGTTTATAGTCGTTATAAGGGGTAATTTGGAAATTCCACAAAATTATTTAAAAAATAATAAAAAAAAGCTTCTCAAATCGGTTAGAACCGCGGTTCTAACCGTTTAACATAAAATTCAAAATCTACTTAGAACCGTCCGTTCTAAAGTGGCCCCACTTGATTAAAAAGCTAATATAGCATATCGAAAATAAAATATCACCAATTTATTTTCTGGTTGTATATGATAATTGGGGATTTTATTTACATCAATATTTGAATTTGACAAATCTATTTTTTTAAAAATTTTATTTTTGATTTAAAGAATTCAAATATTCGATAGCCAAAACTCAGTATTGATTCATTCTTAAAGTGTGTTTGATAGCTAAGAAATGGAAGGAAATTGAGGGAAAGGAGAATGAGAATTGAAAAAAGGAGGAGATTTAAGAGAGAGAGATTAAAATTTTATTGATCATCTAACTGCACAAGACGCTGCTTTACATTAAAATTTTAATTTCTTAATTCTTTTAATTAAGTTAATTAATCTAATTAAAGTTTATGAATTATTCAATTCAATTTTCAATTACTTAAAAATTATAAGTTTATTACATATGAAAGGCAAGTTAAATTATTTGATCAATTAATAAATTTTAAATCAATTAAAGTAAGAAAATAAATCATGTGTCGGTTCTAAATTATTTAATCAAGTGGGGCCACTCTAGAACCGCCAGTTAAGAGTGACCCCACTTGATTAAAAAGCTACATTCATGAACATGTGCTATTCCCCTATCAATCATGTGCCGGTTCTACATTAATGAACACGTACCATTCCCCTATTAATTTATGCATAATAATCTAGTTTCTGAAATTTTACATCATATCCTCATGTCAACACAACATATCAAAAATGGAATATCCCCAACTTATTTTCTGGTTGTGCGTGATAACGGGGGATTTTATTTAGATCAGTATTTGAATTTGACAAATTTGTTTTTTTATAATTTTATTTTTGGTTTAAAGAATTCGAATATTCGATAACAAATACTCAATGTTGATTGATTCTTAACAACGTTTTTGGTAGCTTAGAAATGGAAGGAAAAGAGAATGAGAACTGAAAAGAGGAGGAGATTTGAGAGAGAGAGAGAGAGATTAAAATTTTATTGATCATATCTAACTGCAAAAGACGCTACTTTACATTAAAATTTTAATTTCTGAATCCTTTTAATTAAGTTAATTAATCTAATTAAAATTTATGAATTATTTAATTCAATTTTTAATTACTTAAATATTATAAGTTTATTACATATGAAAGGCAAGTTAAATTATTTGATCAGTTAACAAATTTTAAATCAATTAAGGTAAGAAAATCAATCATGTGCCGGTTCTAAATTATTTAATCAAGTGAGGCCACTTTAGAACCGCCGGTTCTAGAGTGGCCCCACTTGATTAAAAAGCTAATCTATACATTCATGAAGGCGTACCATTCGCCTATTAATTTATGCATAATAATCTCGTTTCTGAAATTTTACATCATGTTCACATGTCAATACAGCATATCGAAAATGAAATATCCCCAACTTATTTTCTGGTTGTCCGTGATAATTGGGGATTTTATTTAGATCGGTATTTGAATTTGAAAATTCTATTTTTTTTAATTTTATTTTTGGTTTAAAGAACTCGAATATTCGATAGCAAAGACTCAGTGTTGATTGATTCTTAACAACGTGTTTGGTAGCTTAGAAATGGAAGGAAATTGAGGGAAAGGAGAATGAGAATTGAAAAGAGGAGGAGGTTTGAGAGAGAGAGATTAAAATTTTATTGATCATCTAACTGCACAAGACGCTACTTTACATCAAAATTTCAATTTTTGAATTATTTTAATTTAAGTTAATTAATCTAATTAAAGTTTATGAATTATTGAATTCAATTTTCAATTACTTAAATATTATAAATTTATTACATATGAAAGGCAAGTTAAATTATTTGATCAATTAACAAATTTTAAATCAATTAAAGAAAGAAAATCAATTATTTGCGATTTGATTGAGCTTCTTACTTTTTATAACAATATATGAAGTACGAGAAATCTCGAATTTGAATCATCTTGAAGCAATCACCAACATCAAAATTTAGAACTCTCCTTATTATAGTCATTTTATTTTTTATTTTTTATTATTATCAAAGGAACGAGATTTAAATTTTTTATACTTATCAATAAATTGTAAAAAATGACTCTTTTTTTTTTTTTTAAGTAGTAAGATTGCAAAATAATAGTTCCAATAATCAATATTTTGTAATACTCAGTTAATAATTTATAAAAAATTATCTTTTTTTTTTTTTTGTTGTCAGGTCGCCGGATTACAAAATAGTACCTCCGATGACCAATTTCAAACTCATTTAAGTGCGTTTCATTTAGATAAAAATATAAAATTTGAACAACTTGCCTCCTCTGGAACTAATTTTTATAAAGTAAGTTACACCTTATTTATCAATAGAGTGACGTATCCTATCTGCAAATTCATTTACCTGTAAATTTTGTGCAATAATATTTCTATAATCACATTTTTTGAGTAATGTTTATAATATTTGTAATTGTTGACATAAACAAAATGTACGAAGTCATTTCATTTTCTTACTCTTATCTCTTTTGTTTTTTAGGGGAAATTTCCTTTTCTTATCTTGACATATGATAAATGCTTCTTGCTGCATGTGATGGTCTTGTCAACCTCTAAAAGGCTTTTGCAAATTAGGCTTCTATTTTTCTTAATCTGGAAAATAATAAAGAAAAAATAAAAGAGTGTCCACTGGCCATTAATGTCACGTTTTTAATAACTTGGATTACACTACGCAATCTATTAACTCCTTCTGCATCAAAATCTATTAAGGAGAATTAGTTCCGCTTAAGCAATTTGTTCTTTTTATACTTTTTGAAGCAAGAAGCATTTATCCTCATCACTTGAAATAGGCACGGCCACGGGTTCGGTTCTAACCGGAATCGAACTGTACTGTAGACGAATAGGAACCGGACTGAAACCGACGGTTCATAATTTTGAACCGAAACCAGCAGTTCAAGGGCCGTTTTCAAGTCTTGAAAACAGAAAAAAAAAAAAAAAAAAAAAAAAAAAACGGAATCGAACTGTACTGTAGACGAAATAGGAACCGGACTGAAACCCGACGTTCATAATTTTGAAAAACCAGAAGAACAATCAAGCAGTTCAACGCGCGCCGTTTTCAAGTCTTGAAAAAAAAAAAAAAAAAAAAAAAAAGAGCTAAAATTATACACATACACGTATATTTCTGTTTTTTTTTTCTTGTAACATAGGTTGCACGGATATGTTAATACGTTCAATCTACCCAGATTGTATCAATATACTAACATCTTTCAAACACTTCTGAATTTATGAATACTTGAAAAAACATCCTATTATTTTTGAAAAATCATCATGTTTTGTGTTTGTGTCGTATCTGTTTTTATGCAAACTGACCATAACATTTTATTTTTGCTTACGCAATATAAGCAAAATTATATATTTGCGATGCATGATCTAACCTGAATACGTGTGTGGGGACCGTTAAATGAGTGGCTTCACTCTTTCTGCTTGTGAAATATATGAAACGCGTTTTGTCTTATGGCATGAAATGGTCCATAGTACTTTTTTTTTTTTTTTTTCAAAAACTTTAAGTTAATGCAAAATTTTTCTGTCCATTTGCAATTATTGATGTTCCTTGGTAAATATTTATTATTGGTCCCCTAGCAGAGGCGGACTTCCTCTATTTTTGGAGAATGCGATGGTATGCCAGTCGAAAAATTTTCTGAACGTTTTGTTACATTTCATCAAACGTTTGTTTACCATTTCATCACGTGTATTCATTTTTTTTTTTTTAAATGAAAAAGTTGTTGTAAGAGATTAAATAGAGTTTTTCTTTTCAAAGATTAAATATTGATATTTTTTAAATTTTTCTGTCCATTTGCAATTATTGATGTTCCTTGGTAAATATTTATTATTGGTCCCCTAGCAGAGGCGGACTTCCTCTATTTTTGGAGAATGCGATGGTATGCCAGTCGAAAAATTTTCTGAACGTTTTGTTACATTTCATCACGTGTATCATTTTTTTTTTTTTTAAATGAAAAAGTTGTGTAAGAGATTAAATAGAGTTTTCTTTCAAAGATTAAATATTGATATTTTGATTTTGTTCATATATAGATTTAGTTAAAGATAATGTAATAGTTTGACCATTATATTTGTTCACGCATATTAGATAAAAATAAAGTAAAATAGTAAACTTTAAATATTATTCACTCTTGCAAGGAAAAAAACAACATAATATCTTGGAACGGATAGAGAGGGAATCTAGAAAACGGATGAAGAGAGAAACTAGAAAAACAATTATATCTCAGTTTGTGAAATTTATTTATTCAAAACAAGGGGTTATTATCAATATAAAAACGTAATATTTTTAATTAAATTGTTCAATGCTTTTCTTAATGAATGCAAAATTTAAATAATAATATTGCCACCATATCATAAAGATATTTCATTTGTCTCAAATTATAGGTTACTTTATTTTTAAAGGTATAATTAATTTATTAATTATGTAATATATCGCCATTTAGCGTGTCTTATTATTAATAGTTTTTCTAATTAAAAGTGGCTCTCATACAAGAGTATACAAAAAATATAAATAGAATTAAAATTACATTAATTAATTTTTCTTAATTTGTGAAAATTAAATTAAAACAATTCTATCTCTGTGGAACACGAAAAGTATTTAAATTTTTTCAAAAATACACACCGTAGTATTTTACCAATTTATTTTTTATTCATGGTTAAAAAAGTTGTTTATACGGTCATAATATTATTTCAAGTACAACACAAAACTGAACAGGTCAATATTGGCACTAATACATAGTCAATAGTTTTAGTTTTAAACTGTAAGTAAAATCATTACTTAAAGTTTGATCTGGTTCTGGTTTTTTATTTTTTGAAAGGAATGAAATTTCCTGTTTCTTTTATTTGGGTTAGGGATGACCACAATTTGATATTAAATTGGAATCAAATCAAAACTGAACAGGTCAATATCAGCACTAATATATAGTCTAGTCAATGATTTTAGTTTTAAACTGTAACTAAAATCACGTACTTAAAATTTGATTCTGGTTCTGGTTTTTTATTTTTTGAAATTAAAACTGACGGTTTCGGTTTGAAATTATGCAAAACATATTATTAAAGAAACTCCCAACTTTTTTTTTTCGTTTTATTCTAATTTGCAAAGCAATTTTTAAGATTTTTTTTATTAAATTGGTTTAGTGTTTTTTTTCATAGTAATGTTTATTGTTATTATTATTTATTCAAGCTACAAATCTAAAAATTTTTTTAAAAAGTTTTAAATATATTATTTAATTTCAATTTAAAACCGGTATAAAATTAAATTTGACGGTTCCAAAACTGTCATAGAAACCGTCTAAAAGCAATTCAATTTTGGTTCTGCTTTTTTTATAACCAGAACTAGCATTTTTTTGCTAGTTTAGAACTGTAGTCATGCCTAACTTGGGCAGTTCCTTTCTCCATTTAAAAAAAATAAATAAATATATTGATATTATATCATTAAAAATAATTATACATATAGTATGTTAGTAAGTTGATGATACTAAATAATAATGCATCTCTCATCTGACATTGATAAATAGATTAATGTTGGTATTTCCTTTATTTAAATTGTAAAAAATGACTTTTTTTTTTTTAAGTAGTAAGATTGAAAAATAATAGTTCCAATAATCGATATTTTGTAATACTCGTTAATAATTTATAAAAAATTATCTTTTTTTTTTTTGTTGTTGTTAAGTCGCCGGATTACAAAATAGTACCTCCGATGACCAATATTATGTAGTACTGATTAACAGGAGAAGCTAAGATTTAAAGTTAAGGGAACAAATATTTGATCTTGCAAGTGATGGGAGACAAAGTGGTGAAGGCAGGTATTGTTTAAATGGCTAAGGTTTGAGCAACAAAATAACCTCTCATTGGAACCAATGTTATAGCAATTTCATTATTTCAACATGAACGGCTTTCTTTGCACATTGAGCTTCTGGACCATTATTTATAGTTAAGATAAGATTACATTATATAGAAATACTGTAAGGAACTCCTTTTGTTGTAACTCCAGGCTCTGAGAATGGCTTCAAAAGCTCATAAGGCACAATACCAGCTCCATTTCTGTTCTTCAAATGCACATCGGCATTTCTTTCATCAATAATTCCTTCTAACTCCTTCAGCTTCCCACTGAACTTTTCAAAAGCTGCTTTTATAACAGGTTCCTCATTCCAAGATGGTTCTATTTTCTCTCCGATATATTCCTCATCGGGAGAGTGATTAGATAGAACATCCAAAACAGTCATGACTTTTGATGCTTGAACCTGTGAAGGGAATGTTTGCAGAAGTACTGCTTCAGGCTTTTCCAAAAAGAATTTCCAATCTTCTTCGGTTGATTCTTCAGTTGGCATTATTTTTCTTGCAATTGTAGGTCTATTTGGGAAATAACCTGCAAATGTGTATTGACCAAAGTTGACTGCCGCGTGATGACCGGAGGCTACCCATACAATTGTTGTAATAATTTCTATCAGGTCCTGAGGTGTTTTCAGCTCAGGCCACCACGATTCATTCTTTTTGTCACCGTGTCCGATTGTTCTAACTTCTCTCCAGAATGCTTGCAGCTCAGTATCGTTCACTATCGAACTTGAGTGTGGATAGTAGTGATTCACATAGTCACTAACCCATTCTTTGATGGCATCCCATAAAACTAATCCATCGTTTGCATATGGGTAGTCTTCAATTGTTAGTCTTAAACCATGTGGAGCAGATGGGTCTTCAACAGCCATTCCCCTGCCAGTTTCCAAAATCTTGTAATTAGAACTTAATTTAAATGGCTACGTGAAAAAAAGAGCGGTTAATTTGGATTCTACTGGGTTGTCAAAGTTAGAACCAGCTAAAGCTCAATATATAGTTGCACATAAATACCAAATTACCTGCTAATTAGATCTTTGGGTAGCGCTTGCTGATCAAACCTCCACAGCTTATCATAAATAACAGCGCTCATCTCCATACAATACTTGCCAGGAGAAAATGATGACTCAATAATCCCATTTGAATTGATAAGTGCTTCTCGAGCCAGAGCATTTATTTCCATTGTGTATCGGAAATGAGGATGCATGAGTCTATAAATTGGATGCATTGCACTAAGTTGACGATTGGCTGCAATTATGTAGGGTTCAGTGCAAGCATGTGTTCTTAACCAGTGGCTAATAAGTTGGTGATATCCAGAATCATGTGCAAGCACATGAGCTTTGGCAAGCTTCCAAAGCCAAGCGCCTGTGGAATACCAAGTTGGTCTATGCACTTCTTTCCACTGCGGCTTCCCGTCCATTGGCGGGCGAGTAAGCTCAATGCACAGTGGACGCAATGTGTGTGTTGGGGTTAAGAAGAAGAGCGTCCGAGAAGCGTAAAGTGTTGTATTTTCAAGCTTTCTTACTTTGCTCACATATGGTAAAAACAAATCATGGTAGTCAAGGATAAACAGCTTCTTTTGTTTTATAGCCTACATAGCAATTATTTATATATCCACAATCAAATTATAATAGTACTAGAAATTGGATTTCCTGCCAATATATATATTGATATATGTACCTCATGAACTGTACAAAACCCTTTGATTTCTTCCTCGATCAATTCTGTAGTGATTGCTGACTCTGGAGGGCCATACACTGCAGGATCAAGTTCACTCTTCAATGGCCATTCCTGCATCATTTAATTTATATGTTATGATATTACAATTGCCAAGCAAATTTAATTTTCTTTTCATATAAGTAATTAATTGGTTTACATACTGTGACCAATTTTATGCTCAATGGGTTGAGTCCTGCAAGAGTCTGCCTACCGAATTCCTCATCCCTTAACCAAAAAAATCTGTCTCCTGAAAATGCCAAAAACGAACGTTAATAAATTAATTGAGACAGAATCATTATTAGAGATTAATTAAATTGTAATTAAACAGAGGTCTTACTCTCCATAGTTTGCGGGGTCTCAAAACGCAAGATGCTGTCAGCTTCATCTCCGATAGCCTTAATAATATTAGGCAGAATATGTTTCAAGCCTTGGCCTTTAAGAGGAGGTAAATTGACTCCTTCATTGAACAGATCATCTATTTCACTGAAAAATGGAAATGGAAGGGTGGAGTCTACTATTGAAGTCTCTATTGAGGGAAGCACCGCATGCAAAGCTGAGTAAAGTGTCTTGGCGGAGAAAGTGAGCTCCTTCACTTCTGAGAATTCTTCGTCTCGAGGCACATAAACGGAACTGCTCCTCGACTCCGACAATGGGTCCGTCTTGCACCTTGGCCTTCCTGTTCTGCAGCGTCTAGGGTAAGGAAGCTGTTTGCCGCCAAGCACCGGTCTTTTAGTGTCTGAGTCATTGTCAGGGTCGCCTAGATCATTGTAGACGTCGTAATCGTATACTCTCTCGCCTTTCTTGCGCTCTCCTTGACCGTCGCCTCTCAGAAGAACAAGCTCTTCTTCTCTCAGCCTTCTTAGTCCATCTGGCGTTTGTGATGGCAAGTATGACTGTTTTACAGAACTTAACTGTCAATTGTCAACACCAACAATTTTTTTTTTTTTTAATTGAAATCTACGGAAGTAATTAATTAATGTGCTTTCACCTATTGGCTGTCACGTTGTGTTGTGTCCTAATATTCTCTTTTGATCTACTTCCAAAAATCCAGGGCCACTTCTTATTTATCACGGAATTCACTTGCATAAATCTAGGGACATTTTCGCTTTTATTTAACAAAACTTTTCACTTTTTTCGCTTAATATTGTCTTTGATTAATATCAAATTTTTCTGCTGTTACATTACGTATTTTATTATCTTTATGTTGGGTTGTTGATAGTAAAAAAATAAAAAAAAAAACTCTTATTTATATAAATTTTTAAGACACTTTTAACTATTTTTCCCCTTCTTTTTTTCATGATATTGTCTTAATAAATTTTATAATAGTTTACCCCTTCCTTTTTAAACCCTAGTTTTGTCCCTATTTATATATTTGTATTTAAACTAAAAAAATAAAAATTAAAAGTTAAAAATGTTGATCTCTAAAATATTAAAAATTTTCAATTTTATTTATAAAATAGTGAACTTTTCAATTTTTTTTCTCTCTTAAATTTTGAAAACTTAGATTTAGTGAAATCATCTTTTTTTTTTTCTATAATGAAGTTAATTGAAAATTTTAGGTGAAAATTCCAATGACTTTTTTGTCATTTTAAATTTATTATTAATTAAACAATTATTTTTATTGAACATTTTCGCTTTCAACCACTATTTAAACAACTAACAGCTACTAAAATTATACAGAGCTAACAACTACTAGAATAGCTAGTATGACCGAACACAGCCTATGAGTAGTCTCATATATTAAGTTGATAAAAAAAATATTTTTTTAAAAAAATATTACTGTTTATCCATTTTTTTCTGTGTATGATCAGAAATACTCTCATTTAAAATAAAAAAACTTCTAATTAATTTAGTGTATAGGAGGAGAATCATATATCAAGTGTAGATAATTCTTTTCTTCCATAAACACCATATGAAATTGCTAATCTGAATAAGTAAAAAATCTAATACTTAAAACCGTAGCTTTGAAGTTCTCTGTCGTTTGCAAAATAAAATATAGTATAGAAAAACTTCTAATTTTGGATATTATTTAATAGGAAAAACTAACAAAATATCAAGGGAAAGACAAAATAGTAACATGAGCTTATAAAAATATTATATTTATTTATAATTTATAATTATATAAGAGATATAAAATTCGATTCCATTTGATTATTTTAGTTTTTTCTTTTATTAAAACCAAACCAAACGAAAAAAGAAACCGAACCAAATTGAAACAGCTAACAAAACTGAAATAAAATTGAAATGACTCATTTAAAAATTAAACTAATAAAAATCGATTTTCAATAAACCAAATCGTTTTCTCATCCCTGATTGTTGGTTATGCCTCTATCCTCAGGGTTTAACTTTCAACTAAGAAACCCACCAATCATGGGGTGGGTAGCAATTAATCAATGTGGCGAGTTAATGCATGAAAGGGAGTCGACCTTGTTAGTGAAGAAAAGCCTTTTCCGCTTGTCGGTTGACTTGGCCTGAACCCAGGAATCACAAGCCAGATGAACAGGACCAGCAAGGAAGCCGTCAAGGGTTATGTCCTTGATGAACATCTCCTTATGGTGCTCATTTTCAACTAAAATAGCTCCTACTTCTCCAAAACTATCAGGAACTACGAAGTCTGCTTCATACCGGATTTCTGATCCATGCTTATCTTTCCGGTGAGCATATCCTTTTATCGTCCCCTTCTCCAATCCCGTCTCTTCACAGCAATACAAGAACAAGTCAGTAATATTAAGTATAATGAATCATTTTGTTGACTGCGAGTGATAACTATACATTACTTACTGGTATCGAGATTTGCACTAACAAGCTCCAAAAGGAGAGATTTGCCAAGCAAGTCAGTTATATCGTCAAGTCCTCTATTTATCCCTATATTGGACAAGAACCCTCCAACAGTTCGATTGACAGTCACTATAGCTTTCACTTTAGTAGACTGTTGTGTTTGTGTAAGGTTCGCTATGGCTTTAACATTTCCAGGTTTATAGCCAACTCTAACCTTTCTATGCGTTTTACTAGATGAGGACCTCGAAAGGACAGGGAGACAGACTTGGCCATTTCCATGGATAAATGGTTTTGGGAGCAGGAAAAGGGCTCTGGAGGAGTTATGAGTTTGGAGAACCTGTGGCTTCAACATTTTTGGAGAAATTAGAAGAACCTTGGTTTGATTATACGAAAGATGTGGAGACTTGGTTATGGTTGTAACTAAATTATATAGACGTGGAGAGACAGAAGAGAATGGATTCTTCCTTTGTAAAGAGACATTGCACGTTTTGAACAAGGGAAAAATTAATGTGAGGCCTAAAGTTACATAGGATTAGATTTTTCCTAGATTATTATTCCCACTGACAATTCTATCCATTGTACTGGCCAATCAGCTAATTACAACTCATTTGAACCCATTATTTACGGGGTTGACTTGTCACAGGGTCCATCCGTGAACATGAAAAAAAAGGAATAAAGTGAAAATTTTAAAAAAAATTATATTTTTACCGATTTAATACATAAATAAAATTATAGAACGTATTTAGGAAAGTATAATATTTATTTCCTTGAGTCCATGGATTTTTTTATATGACGTTAGGGTTGCATACCTCATAAACTGTACTATTTAGCTTTCTTCTTTTTTTGTTTTTGCCCCTGCTCCTATCTGTGACTAAAAATAGAGTTATATAATGAATTTTAATTTTAAAAAAATCTAATTAGTAAATCGAATTTTTGTACTGATACAATTATTATAATTTCATGTTGTTAGAATGAATATGATATATTTTCGCTGTCTCAAAATATACAAATCATTTTAAGTATTTTAAATAACAATAAATAATTTATAATATAATAATAAAAGATTTTTATTATAATATTCAACAATAGCTTACAGTGAAAATGAGTCAAATTCCAAATTTTCACTGTGTTATACGTTGAAGAAAGTACAATAATTAAAGAAAACTTTTATTGCGATGACGTGAATGGAAAAAGAGTTTGGTCACGTGGTTGGCGCAGACATATATCTACTTTCATCCCATCTTTCTTCTGAAAATTAAAGTCTCTAATCGAAAGGAAATAATTCAAAACCTGAAGTCTATTCTGAAAAGGTCATGGATGCCAAATTAATTAATTAATTGCTCTTTTTTTTAAAAAAAATAATAATATTTCCTTTTGCAACAGTAAAATTCCAACCCAACTCTACTGTAATTTCTTTTGTTCTTTCAACTATCTTGCCCTCTTAATATTTATTTACTTTTCCTCTTCCCGTTTTTTCTACCAGTTTGGCCTCTACTGACAAATTTTAGTTCCTCTCCTGGTTGTAAGCCAAGCATTTCCCAGTTCTTTCCTTCTATTTCAGACACATAAAAAACATGCACATGGATGGTACTTTGAGATATATATGAAAATTTTTGGCCGACAGCAGCCCTTTTTTCCTTTAATCCTTAGAAATTGAACAGAGTTCTTTATCGTTTTTCTTTGAGTGATAAATACATCGACAGAGATGTGTGTGTTCTTCTATCAGCAGTTGGTGGACGGTTGGCATCCACAATAATTTCAAACTCATTCTTCAAGTGCGTTTCATTTAGACAAATATATAAAATTTGAACAAACCTTCCTCCTCTAGAACTAATTTTTATAACGTAAGTTACACGTTATTTATCAATAGAGTAACGTATCTATCTGCATATACATTTACCTGTAAATTTTGTGCAATAATATTTCTATAATCGCATTTTTGAGTAATATTTGTAATATCTGTAATTGTTGACTTAAACATAATGTACAAAATCATTTCATTTTCTTACTCTTATCTCTTTTGTTTTTTAAGGGAAATTTCCTTTTCTTATCTTGAGATATGATAAATGCTTCTTGTTGCATGTGAATGTGATGGTCTTGTCAACCTCTAAAAGGCTTCTGCAAATGAGGCTTCTGGTTTTCTTAATCTGGAAAATAATAAGGAAAAAAAATAAAAGAGTGTCCACCGGCCATTAATGTCACGTTTTTACTAATTTGGATTACTCTACGCTATCTATTAACTCCTTCTGCATCAAAATCTTTCAACGAGAATTAAGAAATTTGTTCTTTTATACTTTCTGAAGCAAGCATTTATCTTCATCACTTGAAAATGGAAAAAAAAAAATTGCCAAAAAATTGCTTGCACAATATAAGCAAAATTATATTTTTGCGAAGTATCATCCAATCTGAATATGTATATGGGGACCATTAAATGAGTGGATTCATTCTTTCTGCTTGTGAAATATATGAAACGCGTTTTGTCTTATGGCATGAAATGGTCCATAGTACTTTGTTTTTTTCTTAAACAAAAACTTTAAGTTAATGCAAAATTTTTCTGTCCATTTGCAATTATTGATAAATTTCTGGGTAGATATTTATTGTCCCCTAGCAGGGGCGGGAGCTCGGCCAGGGCATAGCCACCTGTTCGGTTCTAACCGGAACCGAACCGTACTGTAGATGAATCGAAATCGGACCGAAACCGGCAGTTCAAAATTTTGAACCGGAACCGGTGGTTCAAGGGCCGGTTAAGGTTCATGTGAATGTTAAAAAATGAACTTGAACCGGCCGGCGTTAAAACCGGCGGTTTTGAGTCCGGTTCGAACTGGATTCACAAACAGAATTTTATTTATTTTTTTTACCCAATAAATTCAAAAATTTAAGTTAAAAAAAACATCATCATTTTTTGGTTTAAAAAGGAAGCTCATCCTTTCAGCTTTTTTTTTTTTTTTGAAAGCTCATACATTTCATTTTCAACTATAGCCGATGAACTTTGTTTACAAACACAATTTTTTTTAATTACCAATTACAATTATCACAATGTTTAAACTTCAAACGGATATAACTCTGTTATTATAATTTAATTAATTAATTATTTATTTATTTATTATAAATTTACAAATTATTAAAAATATAAATTGTTTTTTTTTTTGTTATTAATGACATTTGGGAAACTACATAAATGAAATATGTCATAAATATGATGAGTTGATTATTATTTTTTTGTTACAAATTCAATTATATTTTTCTTCCTCTTCTCTCTTAATAATTGCTTATTTTTACATCCATTCTAATTTCCATTAATTTCATATTCCATTTAATTCATTATTTTTTTTCCATAATTTCCATTTAAAAATTTATTGGACACAATTCACAAAGCTCAAGGGAAGAGAGCATTGTCAAGCGTTGAAGAAATTGATTCACATGATCATTGATTGATTTTTCACCACAGAAGCATTGATCTCTTAACTATTTCAACTAGGGTATCAACCAATCAGTATTTTCAAGAAGCACTTTGAAAAAAATTGTTCAAGATATGGAGAAATCAAATGCGGTCTCGATGTAATTATTGCAAAAAGAATATGCATTCAAGCTTTGAGGAGGGTTTTTTTTATTATGGGGGGGGGGCACTCTTCAATAGCATTTAATCACATCATCCAAGTGAGGTGGAAATGATGTAACTCAACACTCATTATCGTCATCAAGGTACGGTGATCCTAACATCCTCTATTAAATATAGTTGATAACAGTTCTAAAACTTAATAGAAAGTTTTTGTTTTTAAAATTTTCTTTAATATTCTTATTTAGTTAATAAATTTAAAATTTAATTATATTTTATTCATGAATTCGAAATCACACAAATCTTATTTCTTTTTTTAAAAATTTGGTAACATGCCGGAACCGCAATCGGAACCGTAATTTTGACCGTCGGTTCGCCGGACGTGCCTGACTGCTGGACCGGAACCAGAGGTTCAAGGGGCCGAGGTTTCCGGTTCAAATCGGTTCCGGTTCAAAATTTTAAACATCTCGAACCGGCGGTTCAATGAACGGAAACCGGCAGTTCATTGAACCGGCCATGCCTTCGGCCTCCCCAAACTCCAAAAAATTTTTACCTAAAAATAGTGTAAAAAATTATTTTCTTTGATTTGGCCCCTTAACTTTTAAAAATTTTTTTTGACCCCTCTATTTTTAGAGTCTGACTCCCCTCCTGTCCACTGCGACTCTGCGAGCATGCGATGGTATGCCAGTCGAACAATTTTCTGAACGTTTTGTTACATTTCATCACGTGTATCATTTTTTTAAAATGAAAAAGTTGCGTAAGAGATTAAAAAGTATGATAAATAATTTTTAATAAGTTAACAACACTCTTTTTCTTTTTTTCCTAATATACCATTATCCTAATATCCATTAAATTTTAATGATACATATTAAATTATTTTTAAAATTAATCAAACTATAATCAAATGTATAATAAAATAGAGTTTTATTTCAAATATTAAATATTAATATTTTGATTTTGTTCCTATATAGATTTAGTTAAAGATAATATAGTAGTTTGACCATTTCGCGCATATTAGATAAAAATAAAGTAAAATAGTAAACTTTAAATATTATTCACTCCTAAAAAGAAAAAAAAAAAAAAACATAATATCTTGAAATGGATGGAGAGGGAATCTAGAAAAGGGATGAAGAGAGAAATTAGAAAAACAATTATATCAGTTTGTGGAATTATTATTACAAACAAGGGTTATTATCAATATAAAAACGTAATATTTTTTAATTAATGTCACGACCCGATTCCATGGGCCGGACCGGCACTAGAGCCCAGGTAAGCTTAAGGCTCTAAGCCTGAACACTAAAAAACTTACTATCCTCGAATTATTTTGTTAATATTCAGCCCATTACTGATAGGAATTAAACTTCAAGATTCTATTAATCTCGGGGGGGGGCCAAATTTTTAAAAGCATCTTTAACATTTAAATTACCCTGCTTACAATACATATACTTTATACACTATGACTCACCAAATTTTTGTTCTCTATAATAATTACGACTGAAAAATACATCATATAACTGCGGGTTCACTAACAATGAATACAGATAAGCTCGTCGGACATTTATCTATTTATAGATCAATACTAAATTTAGAGAAGTCTTTTCGTTAACGTGACAGAGCAGATTATAGCTGACTTAGAAAAGCTACTTCCTGAAAGATTAAACCAAAAGAGATGATGAGTCTATTAATGAATAATAATTTGCACACCCACGCCTTCACACAAATGTATAAATATATCGTAATCTAGTTATACCGACTAGTTATAATGCTCACAAAGACCAGTACCAAAATGCATTCACCAGCACTTACATTGATTAACATTCTTCATATCATACATTCACGTGGAATAGCACGTGGAAATTAGTCAGTGGAGTCACCGAACCCCTGATGAGCCGTCCTCCCACATGGCTCATCCTCTCACGTGTGC